CTTCTGGAAACATTCAAGATCTCTTTCAAGACATTTCTGATATTCATTCTTACAATACTCGATCCTCTGTCTCAAATAATTTTTACACACAAAGTTCTAAACTCTCAATTCAAGTGAATTCATTTTCTAGAATCGGAACAAAAATTTGGAATGAAATGCCTAGTATATATTTAAGAAAGCTTCCAAAAAATGTCTTTAAGAGGAAAATAAAACATAAAATACTTTTTGAAATTCTAGCTTCAGAAGACTGTTATATTGATCTTACAGAAATCGTTCAAAAAGTAAAGCTGAATTTATCTTCCTCCTAGTATGTATTCATTAATACTCAATAATTTCGCTTTAGTGTATCTGTAGTCTCTCGTCATAACTGTTGTTAATTATTATTTGTAATATCGTTAGTTTATTAGTTGTCTTTAGTCATTGTTGTCAATTCTAGTCTCTTTAGTTCTCTTGTTACCTTCAGTTGTATTTAGTTGTACCTTAAGTTGTATATTATAACTTGTTCAAACATGACCTGCCTAGATTAGCTCAGCTATCCGCGGGCATGTTATAATTGTAATTTTAATTTGATAACAAATAAAATGTATGTATGTTATCATTGCAATTGAAGTTTACAGTGTTTCAGTGGTGTAGAAAGAGAATGTATAAGAATGTATGAATGTATATCATGGTTTACCTTTCATTGGAGCACTGTGGACTTCACTCAAGTAATGATAAACAACCACTTCCCCAAACTTCAACACTTTTGTAAGAAAACCTTCTCACAACAGCTACAGATATACCCAGGTTAACAATGCTAGAAAATCCTCCCATTGTAACCACTGTGTTTTGGTATTGCGGAGGTTTTGCAACCAGTTTAACACTTTCTAAGTTCACACCAGGCTTTTATAGCTTATAGCTCACCCTCAGCATTTGCTCTCATGTTTGCACTTAAAGAATGTGACATAGTGAGTTTCTCACCTTCAAGAATAGTCATACTAACTTAAACTGTAGCCTGGTAGAGCACAATTTTTATAAATTTAGGGCTCACATCAAGTTACACTAAGACACAGTAGGGAGTGAACTTGGTCAATTCCTCAAAAAAAAAAAAAAAAGTGTGCAGTGACCTTGAACAGTATGAACTTGACTGAGTGCCAAACCATCTGCTACCTGGTTTCGTGCTACAGTGGACGTGTATTTTCCAGCTTTGTTGGGTACGTTGGCTGCTCCATATGACACAACTGGGTTGTCAAGGACGAGTGAAACCTCACCTTTCAGCTAGGACATGATGGTTTTTGGCCATTTTTCATTTCCTTCCAAATCGACTTTCTCAGTCCAAAATGTGGAGTATTTAACTGATCAAAACATAGTTAGCTATGATCAAAATCGATAATCCGATCCCAAATCGTGTGATTATCGACATTTTATTGATCATTTTGACTAATCGATTGGCAATGATTGAATAATATCGAGTAATATCGATTAATCGATTAGGCTTTTAATGATCCATTTCGATTTTTTTGCCCTATCCGGTATTTGTAACGTCCCGTTATATAGCACGTGTTTACACGAGAAAAGAAAGCATTCACTCACCTCCTCTCTGTACGAGTCTGGATCTCTTTTTACCAGGTTTTGCAACTGTGGCAAGTTATTTGGTAACCTGTTTCTGTTTCTGTCACTCATGCCGGTTTAAATAAAAATATAAAAGAGAAAAGATTGAGCTGTATTATTGTCGTCGTTCACCGCTGCATCGTCAGCCATGTTTTTACCTCGCTCTGAAATTCTCTGATGTGTACTCGTATATGAAGATATCCTCGAAGATATATGAAATAGCTTTTTTCTTCACTGGCTTCATTGCGGGCTCAGAAACCGGCAGTATACGGGGGTAGCTCGTCCCCAGGCTCTTTGTCCCCTGCTTTCCTTGTCATGCTTCGCTCCGGGTGTAGCAGAGGAAACGATCGTTTGAGAAAGGGTTGTATTAAGAGGTGCAGAGAAAGACAGAATGCGTAAGTGAATTTCTCCTAGAAGAGGGTGATGAGACGAGTGAAGAGGAGGATATTGAAAGTAATGATGGGAAATAAAGGGGCAGTGAGGCCCGACTCCTTCACTCAACGTGCACCCTCCGCCCTTCGTTACAGCCTTCGCTACTTTGCTCCATTCCACAGAACATTTTCTTACTTTTCGCGCGAGCGCAAACAGCGCGTGCAATAAGTGGATCCCGTAAAACAAGGACGAATCTGATTGGCTAATTTTTGCACGCGCTTTTCACCCCATTGTTATGTCATAAAACAAACTGAGAGTTCTTTTTCAAGACAAACCGCGTTTCCGCGCAGAGAGCCGAAATGCTTAAAATGGGTATCACTTGGAGATTACAAAGCCGGAAGTAGAGGGAGGAAAAATAATTATTAGGTTTGTTGATTGTTTCGTTTGTTTGAATTTGTCAAGTCGTTAGGTTTCATCCAAAGAAATGGCAGAATTGGCGGTGAGTTGTCTACGGCAGGAAAACAAGCAATAATGAACTACGACAAAAATAGCCATCACATTTGAAATATAACTCTGCTACATAAAGAAGCAAAGAGTCGAGTGAAAACTGACAAGTTCACCACAGAATTTAAGCTTATAGCAATTCAATACAATGCTTATAACCCTCTGTACATTTGGGTCTTTACTCCAATGAACTTAATTCTGAGCTCATGACCATGCAGTTTTGTTTCAGCAGAATTCATTCTGTAGCGTTGATGATGCTGCAGCCGTGGTGCATAAGTAAGGCGGCGTCCACACTACGCCGCAGAAATTTGAAAACGCAGCTTTCTTTCTACGGTTAGGCCTATCGTCCACATTAATCTCTCATGAAAACGAAGCTTTTCGAAAACGCTCTTCAAACCAGAGGAATTTAAAAATGCTGGCTTTTGTTTTCGCGTGGACAGAAAACAATTTAAAAACGGAGCTTTTTGAAAACGATGACCCCACGATAATCACGTGATTTCCCTGCCCAAGTTTTTTTTTTTTTAAACACAAATCCAAAATGGCCGATGATTGTTGCGTTTTTTAATTCCTCTGGTCTAGTGTGAACGGAAAACATTTGATGTGTTTTCAGAGTGAATCCTCCGTTCTCAAATTCCACCGGCGTAGTGTGCACGGGGCCTAAGCTGTTTAAGCCTGAAAATGGCAACTGTGAAGTGATCAAAGTGTACTCAATATGCAAACAGCTTTGGTTTATCAGTGTGACACGTACATTAAACGAGAACATGTTTATAGTAATACAGCCGAATTGTTGTAGGATAAAAAGGTCTCTAGGCGAACGATTTTAGCTACAGATCAATCAGTGGATATTTTCGGGAAAGAAACCAGCTTTGATTTAGGGAAAAGCTTGGTCCAAGAATCTAGCCCATCAAATTATGTCTCCAGAGTTACCTTTCCCTCGTGCCAAGACCCCGCTGGCCAAGACTGAAGAGGGACAGGTAGCTCTGGGAACGAAAATGGTCACGTGCCTACCTAGCCGCGACCAGCGGTATCACTGCATGCTCGCACGTCAGCTATTGCCAAGCCTTAACTTTTATGTTGATTAGTTTCCTTCCAACATGAGATTATCGTGAAGCTATCTTCAATAATACTACTGACACATTTATTATCCCAGCAATTCAACCCAGCCCTGATTCAACCTTTTCTAAAGTTAGACTTTTATTCAGGCACAAAATTGTAAACCCTCATTTCATGAAACTTATTTCCTATTATGATCACTCCTTCAATTGCCAAGAGCTTTACAAAACTGTAAAAATGCTACTATGCAAAAATTAACTATTAAATAACCATATTTTCTGAAATTAACTTGTTAACTTAGAAGTGTCAAGGCTTTCTTCAACTAAGCTCCACAAACAGACTTGCCTGTGTATCAATGTTTGGACCACGCTCTGTTGAAGGAAGCCGATCTTGCCCTAATGTTTCCTCGTTAACCAATAACTGATGCTTAATTTCAGTTCTGCTTAACCCAATGTCATTTATGTAACCTACAATCAGTGTAAAAAATGCTATGACAACCATCAGCGCTGCCAAAAGCCAGTAATAGTTTGCAACCTTTTCATTGCCCAGATAATGGCCAAGGACTCCTTCGCTAGCTATGGGATACCATCCCCACACATATGCCGTAAGCGCTAAAATGCCAAGACTGAGCAGACTCCCAGTACTTAAACTGATGTTGTACACAGCTGATGTGACACTCGGTGGAGTGGAAGGACACATAGAAAACATCATTTGAAGCCCTAGTATAGTAAATAAATAAATAAATAAATAAAAAGTACGTAAGCAATACTGATAAAATATCACAGTACTGCATGCCATATACTGTTGCCACTCCCCAAGGACTGTTAGGGTGGAGTTGTAACATTCCATTATTGTGTCGTCAAATGTCAGCGAATGAAACAGTTGTCAAAAAGATGCCAGTGAGTAAACCCTCAACCAAAACCTGCAAATTAGCTTCACAATTATCGTACAGAGCACCATAAAAGTTAGAAAAAAATCGACCCGACCAGACAGCACTTTTTGTTATCCCCTCTATACATTGTGGCACAGATGATGACATTGACCACTAGAAAATTAGGAAAAATGACAACTTAGGGAAGGTACGTTTTTAATTGGGGGGGGGGGGGGGGGGGGNGGGGCTTCGGAGGGGAGGGTCATTAGTAATTTTTTTCCAAATTGGGGAGGGTCAAACCTGTTTTATTCGCAGCCGGGGGAGGGTCAGTTTTTTTTTTTGTCTAGGAAAAAATTACTCCATGTTGCTTAGTTGAGAAGATTTATCTAAATTATTTACAAGTGTCGAAATATTACATCAAAAAACTATCTTGTCCCAACTAACATAGTTGTCTCTCTCGACCCGTGCCTGCTTTCGTCCATATTTTGAGGGCGGTAATGTTTCCGCGCAGGGTTCTGGTGTAAAATCAGTCTCCGGTGACGATTCGTTATTTAAGCTACTCGGGCTGGAACCAACAACTCGATCTACTAAATCTCTTTGCGAGTCAGTTTCAACCTCGGAAAGTGATGAGGTCACTTGTTGCTGCACATTTCTTAGTGGGGTCTGCTGAGGTTGCTGACACTCCATGGGATCGTACAGCAAGCTGCCTATGTGCGCTTTGATCATTGCGACCTTTCCAGCTTTCTTCCCTTTGAAGGTGATCTTGTGATAGGAAAAGTACAAGGATAGCTCGTCCACCCACAAGGACGACAGCTTATAGGAGTTGTACAGTCCAGCCTAGTCAATGTCATTGTACTCCCGGTTCAGCCGTTCCATTCGCTCCCCTTCAGTCTCCTCTTTCTTCTTTTCTTTGCGTATTTTTATCTGGGCAAGGTTCTCAACACACTCTGCCCCAAGTTTTTCGGGAACAATGTATTTATCTGAAAACTTTCTAATACACCTCACTGTCCCCACTGACCAGTTCACTTTCCTCAAACAATTGCTTAATCTGAGCAAGTTGCTCCATCTGACCTCATGAAATCCTTGCATTCACCACAAGCGCATTTCCCTATTTCTATTCCTCGCACATCCTTGCCCATTTTCAAGTTTTCACCGTGCAATCACACACCACGCAATTTAATCTTTTATCTTTAATCTTTAATAAAAATTCCAAAATTACATTACATTGAACAAGTCAATCCAATGAATTTGAGGACAGCTTAAAACAGAATACAAGATTCCTTAATATAAGCCACCTTAGTGTATCATTGTATGATTGTATAACTAGTTAAAAATTACTCTAAACTCATATTAAAAAAATAAGATAATCACGATAAAAAATTAGCACTGAACTTATCGTAAAAATAAGCAAACAATTTCTTCCGGAAGACTGACAAGGTGTTAGGCTCCCTGATGTTAAGAGGCAGTTCATTCCATGAGCGACAAACCCGTATAAAATTAACTGCTTTGTGCGCAGACACGGTTATGCGAGTAACACTTCCGGTTAGTTATTTTCACTTCCGGTCNCAGTTCATTCCATGAGCGACAAACCCGTATAAAATTAACTGCTTTGTGCGCAGACACGGTTATGCGAGTAACACTTCCGGTTAGTTATTTTCACTTCCGGTCATTTTTGTCTTGGAGGAGCTGGGGGAGGGTCAGATGCCTTTGTGTAGGTATTTGCGAAGGGTCATGCATTAATCCATTCTGGGAAGTGGGAGGGCCACGACTTTTTCCCCCAAAAAATTTCTAAAATACTCCGACTCACCCCNCCCCCCCCCAATAAAAAACGTACCTTCCCTTAATATGTATACACTACAGGACTACGGTGTACTCACCCGGAATAGCTGTGAATACCTCACTCATGCCCATCAGCGTGTACTGTGGAATCTGCCACCAAATGGAGTAGTCTCGCACTGCTGAGTATGTTACACCACTAGCAGTGTGGTTCACACTACCACAAACAAAGAAGCTGTTTGTCATTGCTCTTTCTACGTGGCCAGCTGCAGTATTTCAAATACAAACAGGAATCCAAATGAATTAACTTTTTTCATATTTAGACTGTATTCAGACAGCCCTGTGACCTCATCTAGATATCAACTTATACATTCATGTAGAAACCATGCAGTTTGGTGTCCAGTAAGGAGGTGCTTGACTGTAATAACATAATCAGGGTTGTCACAAATGTTTGAAGAAGATTTGTCATTTTTTTGTAATGAAACTGACAAATAGCTGAAGAGAGTGCCTGGGCAAAGTTCCTGAAAAAGATGATTGTTTTTGGCCAGCAAGCCAATTACCTTTGACAACCCTCCATGTAATAGCCTCTTGTCCATTTCTTTAATCTGCTAGTGATGCGTTATTAAAAGCATGCACATGTATGTCTAAGTATACTTAACAATTATTCCATGTGCATGAGTTGGGTACAAAATGGTAGATAGCCAACGAGGTGCATAGTGCCAAGTTGGCTATAAACATCCCATATCCAACAAGTGTGAGTGGAATAATTGTTTTATTACAAACGACCCAAAATATAGAAAGCTAAAACTGAAACGTAAATAGAAACACTCCCAAAAATTATCTGTGCACTTACCATATTTGTTCACCATAATATAATGACTCATATACCATGATGGCTAAGCCAATGAAAACACTTGAATTGCATTATCCAATGATCCAGTTTCGATAGATGTACAGTATAAACTGTATGTATATGATCAGTATGTTAATGTTATCACCATCAACTTTTACACACTTTAAAGAAACTGACAGAACTTTTTTTTTTGCCTCCTTGTTAATCCCTGACTTGGACTGCTCTTGATGTACCTACAGTGTTAAATGTAAAGGGAACCCTGTATATTACTTAGTGACAGCGTTATTATGCAACACGTACCCATTCCTGCTGATCCAGCAGCCAATAACATTCCTAAGAAGACCTTCCATAAAATGGGGATACAGACACCGCACGTGGCTAGACCAGAATAGACTCCTCTCTCCATTACAGGAACCAGGATCAAAAGTATGACAATCTCACAGAGACTAGGCCAGGCAGCAGGGATAATTATCATTCCATAGTCTGCCTTGAGGTGGAGCCCTTGCAGGATGAATGTACTGTAAAGCTAAAGGAAACAATTTTTAAATCAGGTCATCTGAACATACAGTATGTACTTACAAGTAAGTACAGGTGGGCATGCATGGCCTGGTGCCCATGGTAAGGAAAATTGAGACCATTCCTGATTGAAGTACTCCAAGACAATGCTATGACGACCACATTCATATGGCCACCTCATTATAATTATGGTTACCTTATTCTAGCCCAAACAAAAGCTCAATCAGTTCTTTCCTTATTTAAAGAACTCCTGTAATATGGCTACCCCATTAATAAAGCCAGATTTTTGTGCCCCATTGGTGACCTGATTGAAAGGGCTCCACAGTACTATCAATACTACATACATTACACCTATACCTCCACCATAGAAATAGGGTAGAGAGGTGCACTGAACCAGTCGAGTAAGGTTACGTTGTACTCAATTACCGGTAAGTTGCCACTCACAGGCTGAACTATGGATACATGTACATATAGGTAAGAAGTTGATCATGTGTATGTAGCAACTGATCATAGAAAAAATTCATAAAGCTTCAGGCTCAGTTCAGTAATTTTAATTTTAAAGTTTTATGATATTAGGCAAAAAGTCCCACTCAGTGGAATATTCATTTTCAGTCTGAATTAAAGCTTTCAGTTACAGTTTTAAAGTGTACCTACATGTATAACAGTTTTTACCTGACTATAAATCATCCAGTAGGGAATCAACAGAAAAGAGAGCACAACAACTTTCCTCATTGCCCTGAGTTCATTCACCTCTGACTCCAAGAATGTTCCACCGTAATTTACCATGGCAACGTCAAGCCAGTCACTTTCAGGAGAAGAAAACAGACTTCCTGAACTACTTCTTGGAATTAATTCTCTGAAAGAAGGGAAAAAATGGAATGTTAAAAGCTCAATAACAAACTGCTGTTTGGCAAAGTGAGCCCTGAGAAACTCCCTAGCCAGCTTCATAGGACAATAAGGACTGTTGGGATATGCCTTCCTATAAAAATCATTTGGGTGCTCATAAATTTTGAAAAGAACCTCGAAAAGGTACAAATGACTATCAGTGTTTCCGCCAGAGCGCGCCATTGCGGGAATCCCGCATTTAAATCAGAGATGGCCCCCAGAAAAACGAAAAAAAGGCCAATTTGGCCCTTTCCTTTTACAAGACTGCAGGCTTAACACAGGCATAATATTTTAAAAGCCACCCCAGGGCTCAAAATTGTGATTGATACGGTTGCCAATGCAACAAGCATTTCATCCTTGGCGACCAAAATTTCTCTGTGTTGACAATCAATAACGGTTATTTTGTCACACATTATGTCCTAGAAAATCATATTGAAAGATCTTTGCTTCTAAGACATTCAACATAAGAAAAGAAGTCAATCCGTCCTTTTACTTTCCTGTATTGATTCTCTAACATCGGAAAACTTCCAAATGGCTGACCGTGTTTGAAATCACCCTATAATACATTGCAAACCCTTGATCATTCACTACGTCATGTATGCCTAAGGATTGCTCTCTTGCAATGCACAGATCCTTCATACTAGTATCTGATTCAAAAGCAACTTTATTGAGTAGAAACACTTCAAAAAGCACTAACTATTAAATTTTATCATAGATCCTGATAAACTGCTTTAATTATTTTTCTTGGTATCCTGATGCATTGTTTTCCTTCTGTAGGTTTCAATTTATTGGCCCCTTTCCTAAAAAATTGGCCCCTACAAAAGATCTTCAGGGGCCACTTTGGCCCCCAAGTAAAATTTTCTGGCTGAAACACTGGACTATCCTATCCTATCTTTCTGAAGTTTCATTTTCATCATATAAAAGACCTTCTAAGAACTTGACAATTCATATTTTAGCTCAAGAGGGTTCTTTGTTTTGTAATAGAACAAGTTTGAATTTCCAAGCTTTCGCACAGAGTGGAATTAAAATGGTGACCCCAGAGCAGCTGTCACAAACAGTAGGTCAAAAGGTGAGTTATCGCTTCAGTCTTTGCTAAATGAAGAGTGCTTGCACAAGAAAAAGAATAATATTAATTATTTTAATGGGTCAAATCTCTAGTCAGAGTAACAACTTTTCATTTCAAAAGCAAAACTAAATGATGTGTTTCTGTTACTTTAGAGCTGCCATGTTGGCATCCCTCTGCAGGAGACCAACATGGCGTCTCCATACAAATATATATGATATGGCTAGCTATGTGAGCGGGCAAGATGAATCAAATCCTGGACTGTGATTGGCTACCTGAGTGGGCAAGATGGGGCTATCTTGCCCACTCGGGACTACCTGCCATGTCCCGCAAGAAAAATTTCTCTGAAAGCCACATAATAAATCCTTTATAATTGACCAAGCTTGTTCAGTCAAGATGGCTGGATATTGGCCTTGTTCTTTTTTTGTGAGTTTATGGACCTTGACTCCGTCTCAGTGCATAAACTCGCAAAAAAAGAACTTGGCCAATATCCAGCCACCTTGACCTCACACTTGGTCAATAACCCATATATATCACTTCTCTGTCACATCCCAGATTCTTCAAGACTTCGTAATAAATGGCTATGATTTTTATTTTTGATCGCATGACATTGAAAACCAGAAATGCGTAACTGCTCATTTAGCCCCCAACTCAATTAGCCCCTAAACGTTTAGCCCCCAACCAGGAATTGAAAACGCTCTCTATTTCTCATTCTTTTAAAAGTGTGAATATGGGGGCTAATCCACTTCTGGATGGGGGCTAATCAACTTGAGCCTAAATGACTGGTAACCCAGCAATGTACAGTCTGTCGTCTGACCATCTACCTTGTTTCCAGTTTTGCCGCTTTCCTTCTAGACCAGGCCTGGCGCATAATCAGCCACATGTTCCTAAGCCCTGTGCCACAAGGTCTACCAATGGTAAAATACTTGCGACAGAACAAGAATGACACCAATGCCAGTGTCAGTGAAAAGGCAGGAATGCCAAACCCAACAGTGAAGCCATACTTCCACTTCATTTGTTGAATATAAGTTACACCAGCTAAAAAGAGCAATGAAATCACATTGGACATCCAATAAAAACAATTAAACAATGTTTTGTTTTCCTGCCTTGGCGCATCTCTTTTGAGCTGATCTGCCCCAAAGGCGGATAAATTCGCTTTCACTGCACCTTCTCCCGCAGAAACAGAAAGTAAAGCGACTATTAAGACGACCAGGATCCAAGGCTCGTCTATTCTCTTGCGAGCTTCTCCTCTCTCGATGTAAAAATATCCCATCACAAAGGCAACGACCACAAGAATTATTGAGCCTATAAAATAGACAAGGAAGCCACTAACAATGGTGTTATAACGTCCAAAACGCGAATCCGCCATGATTCCCCCTAAAGCACACATGAACCAAGAAATTGAGGTAAACGCCATTACGCTTGCTACGGACACAAACATTGGCCATCCAGCACACTTGTTCAGGTACAAAGCAAAGTTTATCAGTATCCCGTAGTACGCAAATCGTTCAAACAACTCGATCAGAATAAGCGCCAACACAGGACCTCGTTTCATACTGCGGAGATTTCGGCGTATCTTCCGCGAGACTGCCTTCCTAAACTCGCGATGTTTGGCCTTGATCTTCTGCCCCAGCAGCGGCGATTCCTCCGTTTTCACTGCCTCTATCGGCGGCGGAGACAATGTGCCATCGGGTGATGTGATTTCTGGATATTTCGCTGCAATATGTTCAGGGTTGACCTTGACAATGAGCGGCATATTTGAATGGATGACGTGAGATTGCTCCTTTGCAGTACAACAATCTTGTAAAATATACTATGAAAGAACTAAAAGTATTTCGTGCAATTGTACAAGTTGTCGACATTCTATCATACAATAGTATGGTGACTTGCCTTGTCAGAGGGCTGCTTTGTCTGAGGAAAGCTCTTTCAGGTTAATAATTTTCAAACGTGTCTAATAACCTAGTAAATATCGCGCGCGCACGAGGCTGCGCGCACGAACTTTTTTTAGCTTACCGTTTTCGCTTGAAGGACTGGTAACGAAAGTTCGCGCATCTGTGTTATTTTTACGAAAAAGTATTGTTTAAAATGTAACAGATTATAAAAACTAACTAATTCCTATGCTCATCCGGAATTAGTGCTATTTATCTGGATTTTTATACTGTAACTAAATAGGCACTAGATGAAGATATTGCCATTTTAATAATCACAAGTTGTTGACACGTTTCAATATGGCGACCGCCTTGCTTGTCAACTATTTTAATGGGGCAAGAGTCCTACTGAAGCAAGTTCTCTCTAGACACAACTCTCTAGAAGGTAAGATGATAATTGTGCATTCTTGTACACCTCAAGATTTACAAATGAGCTCGACTTTCACAGTTTGCATAACAGAAAATGTGAAAAATTTTGAAGCTTAGTTCAAGCTAATAAATTTTAGTTCAAAAGAAATGCTTAATATCTTATTTCTCCTTACTATCAGTACTTACAAGTTTTGTAACGGTGACAGGAATGTAGAAAATTATCAAAAAATGCTTTCAGGCTTAATTATATCAGTGTATCAGTGTTGGAAACTTAATTTTGACAGCACTTGCCATTCCAGGAATATGTTTTCTTTCGTTGTATTGAGGTTCTTTTCCTTATGTTTTACCCAGCTCTTATTAACTGAGCAGGAGGTCTGTATGGGGGAATCTTGACCGAGGTCGTGAGTACAGAGCGAATGCAGTGAGGTCTGCACACACCACAGAGGCCAAGATTCTCCCATACAGACCAACTAAGCTCAGTGTTTATCATATGGCAAACAATTACTTTTCTTGTTTTCCATATGATAAACATCTTATTGACTGAACTTAGTCTGTTTGTACTTTTCTTTTCCCATCAGGCTTTTTGGCACTTCCATAAATATATATTGTTAGAAGAAAATAGTCTATTTTTGCATTTTAGTTTGCAACTTTTTTTACCACAAAACATTACCGGTCTAGATGGGAAAATCTAGCCCACTTTCAATATCGATTTCAACCAATCAAATTCATGAATTCGGTAGTTCCCAGTCCTTGTGAGACACAGCCATATAATAATACCAGGTATTACTAGGGCCAGGAAATTGATTTGCTATACCCAGGACTTTGTTATATAGAGGTTCGTTAAATCGAAGTTCCACTTTACATTGCGTACATAATTTCTACAAACTTGGTTACACTTATGTTATTGGGTATAGTTTGTTAAAATTAATTTTAACTGGAAAACTGGGAAAACCACACTCTAGATAATTGCATGCTCATGACATTGTTGATCGATTTTTGAGTTTCTGATCCAGCGAAAACAAATCCTAGGTATTTTTCCTTTACGGTTAATTATTACAATCAGGAGCTCTGCTTTTAGGCTTGGCTAAATCTATATAATTATTCATGCTTGTGTTAACTGCTTATGTCAATGGGGTATTAAAGTGTTGATCACGGTTTCTTATTCCATCACAGTAATCCCTAATTGTGAAGGACAGGTTGCCATAGTAACCGGAGGAAACAAGGGTATTGGTTATGAGACAGTGAAAGGACTCTGCAAGGCACACATGACAGTTATAATGGGTAAGCAGATTTGTTGGATTCAACATGATTCAAGCAGTCTTTTTAAAAGATATATATCTCAGCGATTTTGCAAGAACATGACCGCTAGGTTTTCTAACCTAGCAGGCGGGGGAGTACTCTGTTAAGACCAGGCTCGGGACATGACCCAGGCACTGGCCTATCTGCTGGTGGTTTGCTGGCGGCCAGCCATCAAAAGCAGGGGGGAAGGGGAGGGTATCTTTTACTGTCACATTCACTTAGCTAGACTTGAGTTTTCAGTGCCAAATAACGTTGATAATGACTGTGTGGCATGGCACTTTGCTCATTTGTTGAACATTGCTTGAAGGTTCTGTGTTGACATGGGACTGCTGGTGAGGCACATGCCATGTGCATGCATGACAGACCAAACTCCTAGTCAGGAGGTTGTCAAGGCACTTACAGCCACTGGGACTGTCTTTGAGCTCTTTGTGGGCATGTTTTAGCGAATAAAGTCGGATATATATGTAGAGGGGTGGAGGAATCATGGGGCATGCTACTCAAGATAGAGTTGGCATACAAAACATTTTATAAGGGGGGTGATGCACTTTCTCAAACTTCTCCCTGAATCTGCCAGGAACCTGGGATTCTAAATTTCCTTTCAGGTAATTTATTGAAGAAAACAGTTTTCAAAAGCTAATCAGAGTACTTTTCATCCTTTAAGTTTAACAGAGGTGCAATCTTTAGCTTGCAGAGATGTAAAAGCAGCAGACAAGGCAATCAAAGAACTCAAAGAGGAATTACCTCAAGCTAACGGTAAATATAGTTATTTACAAATTAAAGGTGCTTTTTCTCTATCTTACATCTGTTACACCATATATTTGTTAATAAAATGTTAATATTTACTTGTCATTGATTATCTTGTGTCAATTAGTTGAATACATGGAGTTGGATCTGGGAAGCCTAGCCTCTGTGCGGAAATTTGTAACAAATTTCAGAAAGAAAGGTCTTCCTCTTCACATTCTTGTGAACAGTGCAGGGATAATGTTTCCACCTTATGGGACAACTGAAGATGGGTTTGAGCTGCAATTTGGAGTGAACCATCTCGGACCATTTGCTCTGACAAATTTGCTCTTAGAAGACTTGATAAAGTAAGTTAGTTTGAAAACAAGGGTGTGAAGAATTAAATTTTCATTTCAATAATAATTATTGTGTGTTATAATTATTATCAAAGCATCCTCAGCTACAGAAATTTGGTCACATAAAAATACTCAGAACAGAAATATTTACTTGTCCATGCGGTTTTATACTCCAGAAAATACTTTGCACCCTACAATAATATTACTTCCTCATCAGTTTGGCTGGTGATCAATTTAATAGTACTTTAGAAGAAGACAGAGGATAAGATTTTTCATTTGCAAGGCTGTGGTCTGTGAAAAATTACAGGGAGCCCAAAGGTTTCTAACCATGAAATCCTGGGTTCCCAGAGGGAAAAAAATTCATTTTCCAGTCGCCCGAAGACAAACGTTAGTCACCTGTGGCACCTGGGCACTTCTAGAGCACAGCCCTGATTTGTAATTTGTGGTTTTAACAGGTCAGGTTTAACAGGAAGATTTTCAAGGATAGTTACATTGTCTTCAGAGGCACATGTCCCAGGAACTATTAACTTTGAAGATCTACAGAGCAAGTATGTAAATTGATTATTACATGTATATCTCAGTGATTGTTAATTTAGTACGAAGTCCAATCTAGTTTCTATGTTACTTACAGTTTTATGTACTGTAAACAGTCATGTTATTATATTGCTACAGATTAAAATTGTAATGTACCATTTTTAATCAGAACATCTCCTTTAGACTTCTTCCAATAAGCTAAACTTGTGTGAACCACAACACTAATGAGCACTTCTAATTTATTTATTCTACTTACTATAAATCTATATATAGTCTGCACAAACCCAGCTAATGGTTCACAACTGGCAGCCAGGATGGTGGGATGTCAACAGTCAATCATACAATGATATGTCAGATGTATTCCAGATAAGGCACTCACCCTTTCCAGAAACATATATATGATTGAAATAGAGCCTTGTGAATGTTGGATACAGGTACTTAAGATATACATTGGTTAAAAGTATGTTCAAAGCTTATGAATTCTGCTAACTCCCCCCTGTGAGGGGGACTCACAGATGAAAAGGTCAGGGATGCTTGTCATCTCGGTTAGGGGTACAAATCAAGGTGTTTGGTCTAGATTACGGTGTTCAGAAAGAAATGCCACTATTTGTAGTTGTCAAAGTATCTTTTAGAGTGCACTGTCTTGAAGAAATAGCAATAAGAGATACTCTCATTTCCATTTTTAGGCTCGATCTCCACCGCCCTCTTGAGTCTGGCCAGCAATTCCTTTCCCGAAACGTGGCTGATTAATTGGCCCTATTTTATAGAATCTGTTACGGGTCAAATAAAGCTTAAGTTATGCCCAGATTGGTCTCATGAAGGGGTTTAATTCAAATTTTCTGATGAGCATTTCCTACCTTTTCATAAGGGATCCCCTCCCNCCCCCCCCCCCAATAACTCCCTCTAATTGGGATATGCCAGTAAATCACCCTGTATGGCATTAAGTTTTGTCAGCTTCACTTGGGTGCACCTTGTTGGAGAGAGAGGGATTATACCTTGCTGGAAGAACATAACTCAATGAATGGCGAGGCTCCAAAAAACCTGACATGGAGCTCACTAGACCACAGTATGCCATTTTGCATTCCCAGTTCAATAGTACTAAAACCGTATTTCTTTTCCTTCATAGGAGCTATTACTCACCCTATTTAGGCTACAGTCAAAGTAAGCTGGCAAACATCTTGTTTACTTATGAACTCCAGAGATGCTTGAAGGAACAAAATAGTCCTGTAACAGCTAATGTACTTCATCCAGGAGTAGTCAACACTGATTTGTTCCAGCACATTCACTGGATTGTAAGAATACCTCAAAGTGTACTTGCTTACTTTCTTTTTAAGGTAAGGCTGCCATAATCCAATTAAATAGTCAGACATTAACTCTTTCTTTTGTCCTCATTTATTCCAGTCCTCTACTCAAGAAATACCTGGGTCTTAAACTACCAAATTTGATACTGATGATGTGAAGAAATCCAAGTAGTGTTCTCATTTGTTTTCTTTGCATGCTCAGAAATCTAATCCAAATAACAACCAGTCATTATTGTTTTAAAACGCCACTGCCCCTCGTTGTAAATACTGATTTTTTCAAGATTTTACTCGTATCCGTTCATGCAATCAGTATCCACTCAGACAATTAAAGTTTGCAGTGTGACAAAAACTCCTGGTGGCAAGTGTGAGCTCTTTGGTTGAATGCAGCATGTACCCCAAACACGGCCATCCAGCCTGACAGTAAATTAAAATTGTGAGTGGGATTTCACAACTAGACATTAGGCTTCCACACTGAGGGGCTTTGTGTCTCGTGCATTAATATCATATCCCCGAGAAAAACAGAGATAGGGAGAGAGAAATATAGCTGAGACAACTAATCCTGGTGTTGTTTGTGTAGCCACAAACAAACCTCTTGTGGTACAGACATTGACACATGAGGAAAACTTGCAGAATGCTTTGTAAGTAGGAAAGAATTACACTTGTTATGTTCACAAGTAAGGGTGTGCGATAATACTTATATTATTAACCAACTGCAAGGGCCACACGGAGAGGATAGCAGCCCAAGTTCTTGAGAGTTTGGACTGAACACAGCAAGGTTCAGCCCAATACTTGAAAATATTAAACTGCCAATAGACCAATCTGATTGGCTGATTTAGCTATTGGTTCTTAGAACTAACTTAGTTGTATAATAATAATTACTATTTGTTGCAGACTCCCAAGCAAGGAGCAGATAACAGTATTTACGTTGCCTTATCCCATGAGTTAGAAGGAACGGGTGGTAGATATTTTGTGAACTGTCATTCAGCACAGTCTTCAGATGAGTCATACAGAGAGGATGTTCAGAGGAGACTCTGGAAAATCAGTTGTCAACTTACTGGTGTGTCATGAGGGCTAGTGAACCTTTGAGCATTACTCTCGAGAATAACAAACCTGGTTAAAGCAAAGCTAATTTGATAACCCTACCTCCCTCTCAACATAGTAATAAGATAGGTATAACATGATCTAACATCACCCAAAAACTACCTCAGCTCGAACGTTATCCCTGAGGCAAAACAAATTGATACACAGATAGCTAATTAATGTGGGAGATTGACTCGTAGCTGTGGCATGTTTGAGGTATTTAATAACATTATCAAATGTTTAGGATGAACAAAACTAAATAAATTGTTCTCCCCGGTTGTAACACTTAAATGAATATGAAAATTCAGAAGAATGTAAAAATTGAACACTTATTCAGTGTTTTCGTCTGACATTAGTTCCAACTCTCTTCCTCAAACCTCTCACAGCGATGTGAGATAGGCGGTGCCTGGGAGAGTTAAAGTGCTCTGCGACCGGGAAACCACTAGTGATTGTGATTCTTGAGTATTATATAGGTTTACGTTAATTATTTTAATCCACCTTGTGGTCAGCGTCATCATTGCCGTTTGCAAGAGATCCTTATCAGCCCTAGTCCTTTTCTCTTACGGTCCTCGCTACGCTCGATCTGCACCAATTGCCAATGAACTCTAAAACCAAATTAAGAATGAAAATATGAGGCTTTGTCAGGAGATTTCTATTAGCGCAGTCCAAGTGGCTAACGTACCTAAGTCCTTACTAATGGGGAGCCCTGTATCAGCGGTTATTGCTAATCTCTACATGGAGATATTTGAAGAACAAGCAATAGAGTCCGCACCTTGCAAGCCTTAGATCTGGAAACGCTACTTAGATGATACTTTCACCATCCTGGATCGGGACAGAGTTGACGAGTTCCTACAGCACCTAAACAGTCAACAACCATCAATCCGTTTCACCATGGAGATCGAGAATAACAGCAAGATTGCCTTTCNACGCGGTATTGTGAAGTGTCTGTACGACCGGGCTAGACGTCTCGTGACCAAACCATCAGTAATCGCTGGAGAGAAGAAACATCTGTCATCTGTACTTGTTTCTAACGGATATCTCTCCTCGTTTGTACAGAAGATCACAAAGGCACGAACAACCCCAAGAAGAGAGCCCGAAGTCGATCTACATCTAAAGTGACTACATCGTGTGACAAACGATAATACACTTTATTATTAAAGACTGTCTTTACTTTATCAAGTGCAATATTTCTAGAGCCCCAAGCTGTTCAAAATGATCAGCTACGCTTATATTACAACTTGGCTTGACTTTGAGAAAATTTATAGGTGCTCAAAACAACCCTCTGGTTTGGATGCCGAGTTTGTTATAAATTTTGACATGAGTCAGTGGGAGGGTATTTCAAGTTTTTTCGGGTGTTATCCTCCCAAAATAATCACTTCTGCAGCATGTTGCTCTTGATCAAGACAATGTGTTTGTATTTTATTTCTGTTTTCCTTTCGTCGAATTTGTTGTATAATGGAGGTAAATTTATGAACAAAACATTGTTTTGGGACAGAGGGATAGATAGAGGGATTTTCAGAAAGGAACGGCAGACTGAGCTATTGTATGAGCCAAGAAAAATACACTATTTCAGCGAGTTGCTAGTAAGCAGAGGTTCCATTGTATCCGTTTTCATGGTCCTCTCCTTTCTGTCCTTATGTGAATGTTGCAATGAATCTTGGATGTCTAGGAAGCAGTATAAGCATGGTTTGGGGACACCTCAGTACAACTACACAATGCAGTGACTGGGTGGAAGAGTTTGATTTTCGAATACACTAGAACCCAGTTAAGCTAATCCGCTCACCAACGGACCACAAAAGTCTGGTTGTAATAAAGAGGTGGTCGTATTAACAGGCTGACCGTAAGGCGGGGTTCCCTTGTGTTGGATTTTATGCTGCCAGGAGCCCATCACTTGCTCCTGATGCTGCCTCGTCCCCAGTCGCCCTCGCGATAGTAAAAAATATAATAATTAACTAGCGAGAAGGGCGGCAGGGAATCATGGGGAGGAAGGAAACTTTCCCTCTTTTTCTCCTTCCCATAGCTCCCCGAGCTCGCGCTCCTCACTAGCTACCAGCTTCCGCTCGCGCCTTCTTGCTCACTCCCAGTCTCCCAATCGCCCCTTGCGCTAAGAAGAAAATAAGAAAAGCCTGTGGATGAGGTAGGTTATTATGATGCCATCAGTTGAATGTGGCGCTGCCTTCCGCGCGGTTCAAATTCTAATTTTAAGATGTAAACAATGACGTAACAAAGATTAGTCCTAATTACCTTATTTAACCTTGTTACACGTCACTGATTAATTATATAAGTGATTTATCCACGTCATCTCATTACAGTTGTTCGCAACCTTTGCGCAAAGCAGTCACGGTGTTTTGGACTCCGCAGATTAAATCGAAGTTAACGAAGATCCCAACGCTTTTCAATATGGAAGTAAGTTTAATGTCTGTTTGTTGCGTTTTTCTTTCGTTTCTAGAAGTAAGGCTCCTTTTCGAGCGCTTTTTCTTGGGGTGAACTGGATTAGGATCAGTGATCCGAGGTGGCGCATGATCCTTCAAACGACATGGGTCTCGCAAAATTTTCGTCGAATTTCACGTGTCTTACAGTCTCGTTTTTTTTAGCGGTTATGTGCGTCTCGCAGTCTGGTTTTTTTTCTTTTTTTTTTTTTTTTACAGAGTTGTTTCACAGACTCTCAAGGCTAAGAAAATCTCGAAGCACCGATTTGTGTTTTTTTTTTCACAAATGAAGTCCGAAGATCTTAGAAACTTCGAGCTCGCAATTAGAACACTTTGAACTTGAAGTCACGGTCTCGCAACTGAAGAATTGAAAGTGTCTCGGGTTCACAAAGAAAAACGCTAGTCTCGCCGTCACGCAAAGTCTCGCATTTACCATTTAACACAAAGAAACCGATGAATCCACTACTCTGGTCACGAATTCATCATCTCCTATGATGCAGCATGATCCGGGCAATCATGGATCACCGATCCTGATCCAGATCACACCAAAGGAACGCACCCTTAATCAGATTCAGGGCGAAATAACGGATATAATTGTCTTAATTTAAGTGAGCGGGGATCTTTCAAAGTCAAAGTCAGTTTTTAATTTCAAGATGTAAATAATGACGTAACAAAGAATAACGCCAATTACCGTATATAACCTTTTTACGCGTCACTTGTTAATTCTATAAGTGATTTGAATACGTCACCTCATTACAGTTGATTGCAACCTTTGCGCAGAGCAGGCAGACTCTTTAACTCAGCGCAGAAATTTTGTTTTGAGAGATTTCTATTTTAACCAACGTTAACACAGATCCCGACGCTTTGCGATATGGAAGTAAGTTTAATGACTGTTTGGTGCTTTTCTATTTCGCCTCTATAAGTAAGGCTCCATTTAGGTTAAGATCAAGCTAACGGAGATCGTGTTTGTCTCAATCAATCTGAACAAATTCCTTTCAAGGTCTTTCTCTAAGATCGTTGCTGAGCTTGATTAAGAAAAAATTCAGTTACCGTTGTGGAGGAAAGATTTCTGATTTTCAGTTGCTTATTTTTTTCTTTCTTTCTTTCTTTCTTTCTTTCTTTCTTTCTTTCTTTCTTTCTTTCTTTCTTTCTTTCTTTCTTTCTTTCTTTCTTTCTTTCTTTCTTTCTTTTTTTTTTTTTATTTCTTTTTATTTTTTTTTTCGCGTTCTTATCCGAGTAAAATTATTAAGCTCCTTTTAGGTTCGAATCAAAATAAAAGTCGTATTCAAAACTTACAACACTTAATCGTAATTGAAATTTAATCCGCGCGATTTTCTTTCTACAGAAACTAGCTCAAGTAAATGTCATTTTTGTATCAGCAATCTTTTCGAGTTGCGCGAAAGAAAAGCGTGATTAAAAGCTATGAAAGCAGCCCTTGATCTTCTTGCGCGCGCGCAATTTTTATTAATGAAATAATTAGCGTCTTGCGTGGAACTACAGTAAAAGCGAACAAATGCAGCCTCTTCCGAACCTCGTTTAATGTTCTAATCCCAGTTAAAATTTCCTAGATTCCTTTCTAAGGGAAGGAAACTGCTGCAAAAGAGTTTAATTTAGCAGGGCTTATCCTTGTGTCTTCAGACAATTTTTTTTTAATTTTCCCACGCAATGACTTTCTTTGATTTGTGATGAAAGATAGTTTTCTTTGTCCAAAGTCAAACTTTGAAAATATTGATTCTTGAAAACAGCAAGAATATGGCGTCTTAAACGTGGGCAAGATTTTCACTGATAAGACGTAGACTAGCTTTAATAGCTCTTTTCCTAGTAAATTTCATAACTATTTTGCCAATATCTACGAAAGCACAATGCATTGTTCTCGAGCAAAAGTAGTGCTCATTGTGAAACTGAGAGTCAACTATGTTTCAGTTTATCTTTTCGATTTTTCAGATTTTTTTCTCCTTTGGCTGGTTACTAGGACTTGGTCCAATCGAGGGCCCGATAAGCTCTGTTTTGTCGTTTAATTTCGTCGTTCCTCATAAGCTTATAATATCTGCTTCTAAAATGCGCGACAAAGGGCCATTAATAAGCCAACGGTAGTTAAAATGTCTTCTCAAATTTTTATGCACGCCAAAACATTGACTGACGGACGATTCAATCGCTTCATTGTCCTTGTATTTTGTAGGATCCTTTTTGTGAGTGACTGCATTAAAATTTACAAATTTTCCTTATTCGACTTATTCTTCTTCTCTGTTGAAACCAGGGCGAAGAAGGTTTAACGCCCTGGTTGTAACTCGTCTGCACGAGACGCACGCTAGTGTTAAAATATTGCACGCGCACAATTCAACTATGCGATCAAGCGCGCGCGCAAAAATGAAAATAAAAATAAAATAAATACAATTGGCGTGCAGCAGCGAGAATTACTGAAATTGAAGAAAGCTAATCTATTCATGAGCCAGTGATCCCTAGGAACACTATTACCGCTACCCGCGAAAAGCTAACCTTTCGCGAACTACAGATCGAAAATTTTTAGCGTAAAACGCCCGGATTTGAGCGCAAATTTTCGCTTTGTTCTAAGCCGGTCAAACCGGGACACTACTGATGATGAACCCGTTCTCTCGACTATGTCTGATAAAATTACGTTATTATGGAATAATATGTCAAATAACCAAAAAATATGATAAAATGTCCTACAAAATTCATTTTATTCTGTGCATGTTGATGGTAAAATTAAGTTTTCTCCCTGTCATCAGATCGAGATATTTCCACAAGATCTCTTGAGCAATGTCATGGACGCTATCTCGTCCAGAGAAGTAAGCGAGTCATCAGCTCCAACCTCAAAGCCTGAACCTGAAGACGGTGAGGTTGACTACGCTTCCCGGGCCAAAGAAATTCTTGACATCACGTTTAGGAGAGTGCGTCAACGCTCAACGGTGCAACAAGCGCATCTCCCTCCACCGGCCGATCAGGTACCGTGACTTTATTTGTCAGCGACTATTCAAAGGACACGTTAGAAAGTAGATAAAAGCGGTCGAGATTTATGGTATTTTAGCACTCATTGACCGCGAAGGTGAAGAGAACATTGGTGAATATTTGTTGTGACGAATTTGAGGAAAATACTCAACAAACTTCGCTGAGGCTGACTCGGATATTTGTTTCAGTATAATTGTCATAGTTTAGTAAATGCTGTAAGGAATGCCGTTATTATTCTTACGTGATTACCACCCACGATACACTAGGCCGGGATAAGAAAGTTTGTCAATTTTTCATCTTGGCATCCTTAGGCCGCATGGACTTTAACGTGCATTTTGTTTTTTAAACGGCTTGACGCGCGCACGTTTTTACCCATCCCTTAGAGTCGCGCGTACAACTGTTTATTTATTCAATGACGTGTACCATTCAAAACTCAACTTAGCACTGAGGAAGGGCTAGGCCCGAATTGTCTGCTATAAACATCGTTTTTAATTTGGCACTGCATTATTACTATTTACAACTTTTGAACTGTCAACTGTGCCACGCAGCCGATAGATCCTTTTGGATTACAAATATTTACTCTACGTTTAGTTATGTCTAGAATGTGTGCATGAACGCGTGTGTTCTCTCTTTGCAGACGGACGAAGCAGAAAACTTGGTTGAGGAGGCGGCAGACAAACCTGCCGGTAAGAATTGAATACCATTAGTACCTGATTATAGAGACTCTTACTCACTGGAATTGAATTCAGAACGGCATATCGACACTCCTTCTTCATGATCAGAATACGCTATTTATGATATCACCTTGTAATTACAGAGCGGTCAAATGCAATAATTTGTCCTTTTCCGCTTTTCGTTGCCTCGAAGTTTCAAAGGGTTACAGACAAAAATATGAAAAAAATTATTTTAAGAAAAAGTTATAAGAAGAGAAGTGGCAAGCCAAATTACGAACCCTATTAATAAGGTGAAAAACAGTTAATAAAATGAGAAAATTTAGCCCGCGAGCAGGCTGCCGTGTTTAGCTCGGAGACCCAAGCTGCAAAGCCACAAGACGAGTCCGCGCACTTCGCTCGCCGGCGAGTTCAAACGTCGTTCGCAAACTCGCTCGCACACCAAAGCCAAAAGTCAGAAAGCTGCGCTTGACTGCAAAACCCAAACACAGAGCCTGCTCGCAGGCTGGAACTGCGCGCGCATTGCGTTTGTGCGCAAGGGTATGGCTTGTTGCTAACCAACCAATCCTTTGACACAATCTTAGGATACACTTTGCTATCTGTAGCTAAAACATCCTTCTGAAAGCAATTATGACGACCAGGTTTCAAGCCTAGCAAGGTATCCACGGAGGAAGTGCTGGAAAACGCTTTTGCTTTTCTTTTTTTGAGTGGCAACAGTGGACGTTGTATTACACCGACCATGATAGATCTGCCATGTCTTAAATGTGCTCATATAAAAAGTGACAGACTAAATGATACTTGGAATAACCGCCTTTTTGTTAAATATTATTTACAGAAGAGGATAGCAGTGTCCCAGAGAGCTCGAAGGCCAGCACTGACCGTAAAGACCAAGATTCTCCTTACGGGGGTATTATACGGCACGCTGGTAAGAACCGAGACAATAGAGATTTTTAAAACCTCTACTATGAAGGGTCATGTATGAATCTAATTCACTTTTAATGAAGGAGAGGATTCGATTCATAGAACAAAAAGAAAAACGTAAAAAGTACTAAAATGTTTAGAGCCCTTGTAGAACCACAAGCAAAGCGGATGGTTTCACTGCTTAAAAGACCAAATGGTTCGAAGTTCGTCTTTACTTCGCTTTAAACAAGAAAAAACACAACAACCATTTCAGTAATGGTTAATTGGAAGGAAAGGTGAAATTAGTGTAAACTAGTGGTTGCAATGTTCTCTTCAAGACAGAAAACAACCTCACGACCAAGCTAACTTATTCCTTTATATCAGTTCAGTTTACTGTTTATTTCAGGAGTTTCACTCAAACAAGATAATGCTGATGTCTTTGTGGTCGATCTATCCTTCGTCCCGAGAAAACAAGAATTCAAGAAAGGAATTTTTGGAAAGGACACAGTGAAGCACAAAGAGATCATTAAATCAATTTGTCAGTAAGTGAAAATTCAATCAGGTTTTACTAACATATTCTGGGAAGGAATTCATTAACGTTTAAAAAGATGAGCCCTACAAGTTCATTGTAACACATAACCGACGATAAGACACGTCTTCATAAATGGAGTTTATTTTCCTGTAATTTTGAACACCCCTTGATTAAAATGTTACAAGGTTGGTGTATCTTGTCATCTCAATAGTTTGAATCTTCCTTAGAGAAAAAGATGGCTGCTGTACATTTTACCACAATACCATGCGAGCCTTACATGGCTCTTGAAGGACAGGGAAATCAACATTTGCAATATTTGTCCCTGTGCTAACGACAGTGTGTATGCTAGTTTTGAAGATTGCATAACTTTTGTGTACGTTTTTATGAAAGTTGTTGAAGTTTTCGCGCGCTAAGACTTCTGGGCAAATGTACAAGTCGCCATCTTTTTCCTACGGAAGATTTCGACTTTCCATTTCCCTGACAAAAAAAGAAGTGCGTCTATGGATTTAGTACTGCATTGCTAATTGGGGACACTGTGAATAAATAAACAAATATTGGAATATACAATAGTACTAAAGAATGGTGAGATTCTCCGCCGTCTTGTCAACTTAGACATCCTCGACCCCAGGCCTTTATATTCGTGACAGTGCAAAACGGGAGAGCATTGGGTTTGAGGATGTTAAGGACGTTCGCGCGAAAATTTTCCAACATTGATTTTTTTCTGAGACTTTTACCAGTGTAAGGTGATGAGTTAGTTATGTTAGAAATGTAAAAAAGTTGGGGGTCACCGACATCGTTTTGGAGAGAACATGCCCGGAAGAACACCCTAATTTGGAAAAAATCAGGCTTCGTTAGCGAATAGGGCCACAGTGTCTGTTAGCCCAAAAATATTGCAATTAGATCTTTGAAATGAAATGATCTCTGCCAAATATTTTTTATGTGGACCTATCAACCGAATTTAGTCAACTGGTGAGGTTCCTTAGAGAACAAGTTCGCATTTAGCGACCATAGTTTCACGCGCCTTGCAGCCGCAAGATAGCAGGATTCGATGTCCCGTGGACAGAAATTTTGAAATTTTTTTAACTTCCCACATTGATTTTGTGTTCATTTTTAGACAATGTGGAGATAATTGTAGATAAAATCTGTTTCTGGAAAGAAAAGTAAGGGCCATCGAAGGTCCAAGATCATTAAATCCTGGCAAAGCTATAACAATGGCCATCTGTCCTATCATTGTTCAATTTATTACTTAGGGCGCGCTCTCATGCATGAGGTGGCGTGTGAGTTTGCGTGCGCAGTAAGTATGCGCAGAAACAATTAGCGCGAACGTCCTTAAGTGAGTACACTAAAATCTTGGTATTAGACCGGTATGTAACAAATTTTCACAGACATACTGAGGACTATATCCAGAAGTCAATGACATCAGACAAGTTTGTTGTCCTGATACACTCAAGTGAAGAGGATCGAACCGCGATGCCTAGCGGGAAATTTGCTCGAAAGTTCTACAAGCTGTTGAAAGCAAGGTAACGTGATGCAGTTACTCCGTGCATAGTTAGACTTGTTGAGTGAGGCATAAACAATAAGTGGTAAAGCTACCGAAACGTCCAATTATGAGAACGATTTCAGATGCAGTAAAGCTGTAAATTCTCAGCACGAAACTCAAAAAAAAAAAAAAAAAGACTTCAGAGACCCGTACTGTTGAATTTTTGAAGTAAGTAGCAGCCACCATAAGGATATTTACTAGAAGAACGGGGTCATAGGTATAATATTTTTCCTGTCGAATCTCAAGCAAGTGAAGAATATCGCACCAGGATTCATACCTTGATAATCCTACCCAAAGGAAAAACCATCCGTGTAATGTGCAAGGGTTTTGTAACAAATAGATCGTGGATGCTTTCCTGTGACTCACAATGCAATAGCCAGTTGATTTTAACTTCCAAAAGTTTTTTCAGTTAACTGTCAGGAATCTTATATCTAAGATAGACAGAAAGAATATAAACAGATATATAACAAACTATAGAACTGTCCTACTTTGCATTTGCAATGTTAAAATCTCCTAAGTTATTTGACATTTTCTGTTCAGTTTTTGCCGTCGATTTAGGATTTGTTAGACTTGTCACAGAGTTTGTAATTTCTTTCTTTTTTGTTTTTGTTTTCAAGATTCAGCAATGAGCTTCTCAACTGCTCTATCTTAAAGCCGAGCTTTAAGTTGAAAACCACCGTATTTTTGAGAAGGCCGTTCCTTCAGTAAGTTTCATAAGCGTAATTTTAGACTAAAAAAAGTGAAATTTATTTCTTATATCAGTCAATCAATCAATCAATCAATCAATCAATCAATCAATCAATCAATCAGTTTGTAGAAGAAACGTTTTAAGGTGTGGCAGCCATAATGAAAGCTGCTTCAATCTTGGAATCAGAAGGGTTTTGTCGAAAGTCTTAAAAAATGCCAGGTACTGAAGATTGGGGACATTATGAGGAAATCCTACACAATTTAGCGGAAGTTATAAGTTAAAATTTACAGACGTTTCTGCCATTTGAAATACATGTAAATTGTTTAAACAGCCCTCTTGGGGGAAGAACAATAGTGAAGTTTATCCTTACGTAATAAAATCATCGTTCATTGATAGCTCATATTCTTTGATTTAAAGATAATCACGTTGCACTTTGAAGAATGACGTAAGGCTCGTGACATTCTATTTGTAATAATGTGTTTTTCTTTTGATGAATTTAGGAAAGCAATGCAAAAGAAAATACATCTAAAATCTGACGCTCTGAGCTTTCTGGAGGACCAAGGTAAGAGCTAAGATGTAGTTGTTTTTACAATTCTTTTCAGTTATCAAAAGAAATTTAAAACACAGACAAAATCATAGAAAACATTCTGGTAATCTGGTTTGTTAGCCAGTCAGAATAAATCCCAGAGCTATCGTGGAGGTTTACGCGCGCTTCCCCGCATCACGCGCGCGTCCATTACAGGTTAACATTCAGACCAGGTTGTGGAAAGGTAAAGTCTGCATACGAGCCATAAGGCCTCCGTCCCGCCCATAAGGCCGGAACTTATTCTGGTTTCTTTCGCATGAAGGACTAGGAGTATTTCTACTTCTCCCTGAATGGGATTCTAGTCCATCGCGTGTTACCCCTAGCATAAGTTCGCCGGCACCCAATTTATACACCTGGGTGGAGAGAGTAAACTGTCTTGCCCAAGAACACAACACAATGTCCCTAGCCAGGGCTCGAACTCGGACCGCTCTATCCGGACGAGACCCGAACAAACCATGCGGGCGGGGAAATTCTAGGAATATGTACTTTAGAGAGGTTTGTAACTACAGAGTGGTCAAATGCAATAGTTTATCCTTTTCCGGTTTTCGTTGCCTCGAAGTTTCGAGGAGTTAGAGGTTAAAGTATGAAAAGATCATGGCAGGCCAAATTACGAGGTGAAGAACAATTAGTAAAATGAGAGATTATAGCCCGCGAGCAGGCTGGCGTGTTTAGCTCGGAGACCCAAGCTGCCAAGCCACAAGACGAGTCCGCGCACTTCGCTCGCCGGCGAGTCAAGAGCTTTAATTACTAAGCTCCTGTGCGTCGTTCGTAAACTCGCTCGCACACAAAAGCCAAAAGTCAGAAAGCTACGCTTGACTGCAAAACCCAAACACAGAGCCTGCCCGCAGGCTGGAACTGCGTGCGCGCTGCGCTTGTCCGCAAGCGTATGGTTTGTTTCTTAGCAACCAATCCTTTGGGACAATCTTGGGGTACACTTTGCTATTTATGGCTAAATCATAATTCTGCAAGAAATTATCACGACCAGGTTTCACGCCTAGCAAGGTATCCGCGGAGGAAGTGCTGGAAAACGTTTTTGCTTTATTTTTGAGTGTTGGGAACAGTGGACGTTGTGTTACACAGACCATGATAGATCTGCCATGTGTTAAATGTACTCATATAAAAAGTGACGGACTGAATGATACTTGGAGTAACCGCCTTATTGTTAAATATTATCTATAGAAGAGGATATCAGTGTCCCAGAGAGCTCGAAGACCAGCACTGACCGTAAAGACCAAGAGTCTCCTTACGAGGGTGTCATAAAGCACGCTGGTAAGAAACGAGACAATAGAGATTTTCAAACCTCTAGTATGAAGGGTCATGTATGAATCTAATTCATTTTTAATGAAGGAGAGGATTCCAGTCATATATATATATATATTTTAAAAAAATTCATTTTTCCGCGTTTCAGTCTCGCATAGACCACAAAAACATACTCATATAAAAAGTGACGGACTGAATGATCCTTGGAATAACCGCCTTATTTCTAAATATTATTTATAGAAGAGGATATCAGTGTCCCAGAGAGCTCGAAGGCCAGCATTGACCGTAGTGAGCAAGATTTTCCTTACGGGGGTGTTGTAAGGCACGATGGTAAGAAACGAGGCAATAGAGATGTTTAAACCTCTACTATAAAGGGTCATATATGAATCTAATTCAGTTTTAATGAAGGAGAGGATTCGAGTCATAATTTTATAAAGCAAACTCATTTTTCCACGTTCCAGTCTCGCATAGACCACAAAAATATGCTCACATAAAAAGTGACGGACTAAATTATACTTGGAATAACCGCCTTATTGTTAAATATTATTTATAGAAGAGGATATCAGTGTCCCAGAGAGCTCGAAGGCCAGCATTGACCGTAGTGAGCAAGATTCTCCTTACGGGGGTGTTGTAAGGCACGCTGGTAAGAAACGAGACAATAGAGATTTTTCAAACCTCTTCTATTTGGGGTCATGTATGAATCTCAGTAATTCATTTTTAATGAAGGAGAGGATTCGAGTCATATTTTTATGAAACAAACTCATTTTTCCACGTTCCAGTCTCGCATAGACCACAAAAATATGCTCACATAAAAAGTGACGGACTAAATTATACTTGGAATAACCGCCTTATTGTTAAATATTATTTATAGAAGAGGATATCAGTGTCCCAGAGAGCTCGAAGGCCAGCATTGACCGTAGTGAGCAAGATTCTCCTTACGGGGGTGTTGTAAGGCACGCTGGTAAGAAACGAGACAATAGAGATTTTTCAAACCTCTTCTATTTGGGGTCATTTATGAATCTCAGTAATTCATTTTTAATGAAGGAGAGGATTCGAGTCATACTTTTTTGAAACAAACTCATTTTTCCACGTTCCAGTCTCGCATAGACCACAAAAACATACTCATATAAAAGGTGACGGACTGAATGATACTTGGAATAAATGCCTTATTTTAAAATATTATTTACAGAACAGGATATCAGTGTCCCAGAGAGCTCGAAGGCCAGCATTGACCGTAAAGACCAAGATTCTCCTTACGGGGGTGTTATAAGGCACGCTGGTAAGAAGCGAGAGAAAAGAAATTTTTAAACCCCTACTATGGAGGGTCATGTAATATATCAAACACGAGAGACAATGTTTCATCGGGATATCCAAACACCGAGAGGAGAGTTGAAAATACGACACGTAGCGGGGTATTTTTGACGAAATTCGATATGTTTGGATGGCCGATGAAACACTGTCTCGAGTGTTTGATATATCTTCTCAATAGAAACAAACACTAAGGGGTAAACGGGGAAGTAAAATCTTCAAAATCTATGCTAATTAAGACCGGGTATCCAAATCTCCTTCACCGTCATGATTTCCTATGTTTAAACTTGATGAATTATGAATGAGTTTGAGAAGTATGAATCTAATTCATTTTTAATGAAGGAGAGGATTCGAGTCATATTTGTAAAAAAACAAACTCATTTTTCCACCTTCCAGTCTCGCATAGACCACAAAAAGAAAAACGTAAAAAGTACTAAAATGCTCAGAGCACTTGTAGAACCACAAGCAAAGCGGATGGTTTCACTGCTTAAAAGACCAAATGGTTCGAAATTTGTCTTTACTTCGCTTTAAACAAGAAAAAACAACAATCATTTCAGTAATGGTTAATTGGAAGGAAAGGTGAAATTAGTGTAGAGTGGATGCAATGTTCTCTTCAAGACAGAAAACAACCTCACGACCAAGCTAACTTATTCCTTTATATCAATTCAGTTTACTGTTTATTTCAGGAGTTTCACTCAAACAAGATAATGCTGATGTCTTTGTGGTCGATCTATCCTTCGTACCGAGACAACAAGAACTCGAGAAAGGAATTTTTCGAAAGGATACAGTGAAGTACAAAGAGATCATTAACTCAATTTGTCAGTAAGTGAAAATTCAATGAGGTTTTACTAACACATTCTCGGAAGGAATTCATTAACGTTTAAAAAGACGAGCCCTACAAGTTCATTGTAACACATAACCGACGATAAGACACGTCTTCATAAATCGAGTTTATTTTCTTGTAGTTTTGAGCACCCTTTGATTAAAATGTTGCAGGGTTGGTGTATCTTGTCATCTCATTAGTGTAAATCTTCCTTAGAGAAAGAGATGGCGGCTGTACATTTTGGCACAATACCATGCAAGCCTTACATGGCTCTTGAAGAACAAGGAAATCCATATTTTTGCAAAATTTATTCTTTTGCTAACGACACTGTATGCTAGTTTTGAAGATTGCAGAATGTTTGTGTATGTCTTTATGAAAGTTGTTGAAGTTTTCGCGCGCTAAGAAATCTGGGTAAATGTACAAGTCGCCATCTTTTGCCTACAGAAGATTTCGACTTTCCATTTCCCTGACAAAAAAACAGAGCGTCCATGGATTTTGTACTGCATTGCTAATCAGGGTACACTGCGAATAAATAAACAAATATTGGAATATTTAAAAAATAGAAAACATGTACCGTGTTTCTATCGAGTTATAGAAACACGAGTGGAAGTTTAGGAGAACGAGAAATGCCGTTGGAACACGAGCCGCAGGCGAGTGTTTCCACAGCTTTTTCGAGTTCTCCCAAACTTTCACGAATGTTTCTATAACTCGATAGAAACACGAAGAACATGTTTTCTATTTCTTTTAGAAAACACGGCGACGAAGAAGAGAAAAACAGCTTGTTTACTTTGATCATCAAAATGTAAATTATCTTTGCTCGAGCCATTTTTACGTCAACAGTGCTAGTTCTGTGTTTCTATAGAGTTATAGAAACACGATTTTTAACCAATCAGCGCGCGTATTTTCTTAGGACTGTTTTCTAAACAATAGTACAAACGTATGATGAGATTCTCCACCGTCTTGTCAACTTATACATCCTCGGCCCCAGACCCTCGTATTCGTACGCGTGACAGCACAAAACGGGAGAGCACTGGGTTTGAGGATGTTAAGTAAGTAAACTAAAAACTTGGTATAAGACCTTTATGCAACAAATTTCCACAGACACACGGAGGACTATATTCAGAAGTCAATGACATCAGACAAGTTTGTTGTCCTGATACACTCAAGTGAAGAGGATCGAACCGCGATGCCTAGCGGGAAATTTGCTCGAAAGTTCTACAAGCTGTTGAAAGCAAGGTAACGTGATGCAGTTACTCGTGTATAGTTAGACTTGTATGTTGAGCGAGGCTAGAACAATATGTGGTAAAACTACCGAAACGTCCATTTATAAGAACGATCTCGGGTTCAGTAAACCTGCAAATTCTCAGCACGAAACTCAAAAAAATCCACAGAGATCCATACTGTTGAATTTTTGAACGTAAGTAACAGCCACCATGAGGATAGTTACTGACTAGAAGAGCTGGGTCATCAGTATGATATATTTCCTGTCAAATCTCGAGCGAGTGAAGAATATCGCACCAGGATTCATACCTTGACAATCCTACCCAAAGGAAAAACCATCCGTGTAATGTGCAAGGGTTTTGTAACAGATAGATCGTGAATATTGCTTCCTGTGACTCACAATGCAATAGACAGTAGGTTTTTAATTTGTAAAAGTTATGTTAGTTAACCGTTAGGAATCTTGTATGTTAGATAGACAGAAGGAATATAAACAGACATATAGCAAAGTATAAAACTATCTGAGTTTGCATGCATTTGCAATGTTAAAATCTCTTAAGTTATTTGACATTTTCCGTTCTGTTTTTGCCGCCGATTTAGGATTTGTTAGATTTGTCACAGAGTTGGTAATTTCTTTCTTTTTTCTGTTTGTTTTCAAGATTCAGCAATGAACTTCTCAACTGCTTTATCTTAAAGCCGAGCTTTAAGTTGAAAACTGCAGTATTTTTGAGAAGGCCGTTCCTTCAGTAAGTTTCATAAGCGTAATTTTAGATTAAAATAGTTAAATTCATTCCTTATATCAATCAGTCAATCAACCAATCAATCGGTCAATCAGTTTGTATAGGAAACGTTTTAAAGTGTGGCAATCATAATGAATGTATGTATTTATCTTATATATGTCTTAATTAACCACTCCCTCAATGGGGCTTTTCAGGGCCATTGAAACCAAATGATGAAACAAACAATGCAAATGAACGTAACATGGTTAAAACTCCCAACCAGTTGCCTATTGACAAGCATGACCGAGGAGTTGAACTATGATCTACCGAGAAACAACTCCAGCTAAGTGGTCAGAGCGGGACTTGAACCCGCGACCTTCGGATTTCAAGTCCAGCGCCCTAACCACTCGGCCACGCTGCCTCCGCAAATGCCGCCTCAATCTTGGAATCAGAAAGGTTTAGTCGAAAGTCTTAAAAAATGCCTGCTGCTAAAAACTGGAGACATTATGAAGAAATCCTAACAATTTAGCGGACGTTATAAGTTAAAATTTGCAGAAGTTTCTGCCATTTTAAATATATGTAAATTGTTTAAATAACCCTTTTGGGGAAAGCATAGTGAAGTTTATCCTTTCTTAATAAAAGCAACGTTCATTGATAGCTCATATTCTTTGATTTAAAGATGATCACGTTGCACTTTGAAGAATGACGTAAGGCTCGTGACATTCTATTTGTAATAATATGTTTTTCTCTTGATGAATTTAGGAAAGCAATACAAAAGAAAATACATCTAAAATCTGATGCTCTGAGCTTTCTGGAGGACCAAGGTAAGAGCTAAGATGTAGTTGTTTTTACAGTTCTTTTCAGTTATTAAAAGAAATTTTACAACACGAACAAAACCATAGAAAATAATTTGGTTTGTTAGCCAATCAGAATAAATCCAACAGCTATCGTTGAGGTACCCGCGTTTTCCCGCGTTACGCGTCGATTGCAAGTTAACATTCAGACCAGGTAGTGAAAAGGTAAAGTCTGCATACGAGCCATAAGGCCGGAGCTTATCCCGGTTTCTTTCACATGAAGTGACTAGGAGTATTTCTACTTCTCCCTGAATGGGATTCTAGTCCATCGCGGGTTACCCCTAGCATAAGTTTTCCGGCACCAAATTTACACACCTGGGTGGAGAGAGTAAAGTTTCTTGCCCAAGAACACAACACCATGTTCCCGGCCAGGGCTCGAACTCGGACCGCTCGATCCAGGGGCGGGTTGAGCCCACCATGCCTCTCCGAGGGCGCGGAAATTCTAGCAATATGTACTTTAGAGAGGTTTTTGCTTGAGTGTCGTATAACTGAAACCAAACCAATTACTCACCAATCAGACTACTCACTCAATCTCAAACCGTAGCAAAACCAAAAGCAAAATAAGAGTTATTGCCTGACTATTTCCTGACTGCCTGGCAGTCAATTGAAAAGCGCTCTGTAATGACTTTTTTTTAATACTACCAGTAATATCACCAAAATTAGTCCTTTTCTGAGAAAAGTTTTTTCAAAACACAAACTTAGCTTGAATCGATCGATCGATGCAAATGATCAGCATTAACTGCTCTTTTCATTTATCGTTTTCAGGTCTTCCAGACTCTGTTCTCAGCATCTGCTGAGAACTGCTCTCAACTCAGCCACTCCCTTTTTTTATTTTATTTTTTCCTGATCATTCGATACGTTTCTGATTTTTCCTTAATTATGTGATTGATGCGGGCTGAGTTGATAGATTTGTACTTTGTACATATTACTGGATATCTCGGGTTTTTGCAATTAATCATCTGTAAAAAACGAAAACCGTTTCCCGGGCTTACTTTGAAAGCTCAATGATTGTTAACACCGTGAGTTTTAGTAGAGGACATTTTAATAGTTAATTGCTGGAAGGGAGCCGGGCTTCGGAAGTTCCTGTTTCTCCATAACGCGAAAGAGGGAATTTCTGTTTTACCACAGTTGCTACTATCTCGCAATCTGATTGGCTACTTTGCCGGTTTCGATTTGCGTCAATGTGTCACGCAATGCCTTTTTCAGCTCGCGCTCTGAAAAAACATTTTCTTTGACGTTGATATTGTGGTAAAAAACTAATCGAAACGTGATTTAGCGTGGTCTGTACTCTTATCGACAACAATACGCGTCATCACAGTGGTCAAAATTTTTTGTGGACTCACTCGGCTGCGCCTCGTGGGTCCACAACATTTTGATCACTGATGATGCGTATCGTTGTCAATAAGAGTACAGACCACGCTAAACCACGTTAGATTTGTCAATTCTCTATTTCACCCACCTCTCGCCACTCCCAATAGACCACTTTCGATATATTAAAATTCAGCTTGGCAGCGAAGCGTAGAGCACACAAACAAAGGAAATTGAATGACCATGTTCATTCATTTCTTTTTTGTGTGTTCTCTAGGCCTCACTATCAAGCTGGATTTTAATACATCGAAAGTGGTCTATTCCCCGACACCTTTTGCCGTCTCTTTCTTCATCCCCCGTGGCGTCCCCAGTCCCCCTCTCTTTTTCCACCCTGTTTACTGACGACGGCTTACCACAGACCACCAGCATAAATGGCGGCCGATGATAAATTCTTTTGCAAGTATTAAAATTAGCCTTACTAACCTCATTTTGAAGTTGGTAATTCGAAAGAATTTTTACTCTGAAACGAGGTTAGTGCGACTAATTTAAATGCATAAAAAAGAATTTTAAATCGGCAGCCATTTATGAAAAGGGTCTATTCCGTTGCCTTCCTCTCTCTCAGTCAGCAAAAAAAAAAAAACGCTTAAAATGTCCTCTACACTTAAATTCACCGAGCTTTTCTCAGTACACACCTGTGTGTCAAAAGATTGGAGTTATAAAATTGTATAATAAAAGATTGGAATGTATTTGTAGTGACTTGTAATAATTTATAGTTAATGTGTGTAGGGCTGCAACGATACAATTTCTCACGACACGATACATATCTCGATACAAGTACCACGATATGGTACATGATAAGATACATCATTACATACAACTGACAGGCGAAGAAGAGCTGCGAAGAACGGACGAACCATGTGCTTTGTCCGTGGGCACACAAGACTGTGTCAGCTGACAACTAATTGGAAATGCCCATTCTTTTGTGCCGCCATCTTGAAAGATACGTGACCTGAGCAAAGCAATACAAAGCAAAGATGGAACCTTTTTCCCTTTCCTGGGTCCCTTTAATTTGTTTAATAAATAGCTCTGAAAGGGCTTGGACTTGTGTAAAGAATCATAAAAGGCAGTTATTTCGGAATTTTTAATTTTTTTATTCGTGAAGAATCACAGAATCATAATATCGCGATATCTTGTCGTAATATCGATTTAACAAATAGACCATTTTACAGTTGTCTGCTCAGTGACCTGGCCTTTGTATGGCAGCGAGGCTAGAGTTGACCTTGTTTTGATACAGACCTCACTGCTTTTGTTGTGTAAAACAAGTTGTTCTGATGCTAACTAGGTGCATTTACATGACAAAAGCATTGAGGTCTGTATCAAAACAAGGTCAACTCTAGCCTCGCTGCCATACAAAGGCCAGGTCACTGAGCAGACAACTGTAAAATGGTCTATTAACGTCAGTTTTTCGTGCGTCTGTCCTGTTACTGATCATGAATTTCGTCATAACATCGTCAGAGTAGCTGTGGATCCACAGCCACTTTGACAATGTTATGACAAAATTCATTGTCAATGACAAGACATGCATGAAAAACTGACGTCAATTTGATTTTTACGATAACAAATTGTCAAATTGTCCGCCCTCGCTCGTTGATACATCGCATAAATTATAAATTCATGTGTCTTATTAGATACGCTGATGATTATATATAAAAACCAATAGGACGTGGGAAAGCTAATTAATAGGCTGATCAAACAAATATTGCTTTTGCCTCGAGAACAAAATTCATATGTTCGACTAACGTGTAATGTTCTTTTCATTTTATGAACAACCTGATGGAAATGCATGTTTGCAAATACTCGGGTTCTACAGTCAGCACTCCACAACATAGTCGGTGCAATCAAGCAAAATAAAATGAATGAAAAAGCGTTGATCTCTCTCGACAATCGTTTTCTTGTACCTCGAAACAACGTTTCGCCATACATTTCCTTCTAGCGACTTGCAATGTTTGCCCCCTGACGATCCCAGAGTTCTTTGCGCAAACACGGGTATCCGATTACTGGCAACTCATTCATTGGAACTAGTTTTAAGTACTCTAATAATATACCAGAAAAAATTACTCGATTCTGATTGGCTGAGAGCAGTGCAGTTCACGTGTAACACCAGTGCAAAAAGTGTAACACCAGAGCAAAAAGTGTAACATCAATGCAAATTACACATCGAAGCGGTTCGTGCAATTTCAGCTTTTTGAAAAACTCACTCGTGCAAATTGAACTCGAAACCACCATCACCTACACAAATTGCATAGAATCCATGGCTACTTTCTTACAGATAACGGTCGTTGCTTTGGATAAAAGCTGTGATGGATGAGGGTTTGTATTTTCATCCTCTTTTCAATCTCGCACACAAAGCACGAAGTATTTGCTGATTGCTTGCCGCTCCACCGGCGTCGTTTCGAGAAATTTCCTGAAAACCTTTTACATCGTGTTTCGTTGCTCTCGGTTTTCTCGTTCTCATCTGTTCGGAAAGCCCAATACCACCTCGTTGTAGCTTGACAAAGCAAATCTAACAGCAGCCGCCAGTGTTCCGAACAACAAACCAAGTATGTCCACGTTCATTTAAGGCGGGAATCGTGACGTCATTCGCCGATATACCACTCGCAAGAGTGACATACGGAAAATACGCCACTCGGGTCCCAGATGTTGTTGTTGTTGTTCGTCCTTCGTAGTCAAAGATGACCAAAGACATCTAGTTTGTTAGTAAATTTCTATGGTGTGTCCGGAGGTGGCTGATGAGACCAATCCGGGCAAGGAAGCCTCTCCCACAGGTAGGGCAGAAGTGGGTAGGGGCTGTGCTGTTAGTGCTGGCGGCTCTTTCCTTGCGTACTCCTCGCTTCTCCTCGGCTTGACGGGACCTGCGTTCCTCTGCTGCGTGGGCTCCTTTGGTATCTGGGTCCCAGATATTTAACAATTATTTGCCGAAGGCGAAGTGAACATTGGTGAACATTCACCAATGTTCACTGAGCCCGAGGCGAATAATTGTTTTGGTCTAATTTTCAGAGTTGAATATCAAGGACTACAAAATAACAGACTAAAACATAAAAACACAGACGCAATTGTTCGTGTGTATACACGTATGCAGCCGTAGTTTTAATAATAAGATTACATGTGCATCGATTGTCAATCAATTTACTCATCGAGTTCGGCAGTAAACAAACGAGCGAAACACTACGAAAAATTAATTCATCCGATACCTTTGTTTCATCGCTGTTGACTTCATTCACAGTTGTCATCATCGCCTAAAAATGAGTAGCTTCAGTTTAAAGAAAAATAAATTTCGGCCATTCGATCTGACCTGCTGGCGCAACCACTGCGTTTACGATTCTAAAAAGCCTTAAATCGAATATGAGGTCTTGAAAAGATCTTTGGTCCAAGAGCGACAGCAGTCGTTTTGAAAATTCTCCATCCTTTCAAGTATCCTGGTCTTCATTCAGCAACTGTCCGCCATGTTAACTTGCCGAGATGGCACAGATGGCGTGCTAAGTAACAAAGTGTTCTAGCGAGGTGTTCATAGAGTCGTATGAGTGATAAGCTTTTCGACCAATCAGAATGTCCAATTCTTATATTCACCTCTGGAAATTATACTAAAGTGATTGATTGATTCCATGAGTGTTTTAGTTTTCAGTAAAACACTCCTGTCCATATAATAAAACATGATGTTACGGTCTTCTTGTGAACCGGACCTGGCATCTAACAGCCATTTGGAGGAAGGAAGCGAGTTATGAAGAATGAAACTAATCGTTCAATATTGTCCCTCAGCAGCATTTTAAATAATAAAAACTGACAAAAGTTCAAATGAGGCCTGAAACTACTGTAAAATGGATTGATGCTAAACTCTTTTAAAATCCGAGCTTTCGCCGATCCACGTCATAAAATAGTCATTAGAACACAAGGTCCGCGAATTCGCTGCATTGCGGGAATTGAGGGCAAACTATTTATTATAAAAAAAAAAACCAATGAAATACAAGGTTAGCTTTCGCACGAAAACATGATATCTCCACACGTGAAATTAACATGTTATCTTCACATGGGAAAAGGTTACCGTTCCTTTAGTTCCATGCTAAATGGCGCCGTTCGCATCGAAAGTGAAATGGTCTGGGAATTCAGTGATGTTTATATAATAAATAGAACATTACACGGCTACTTGGAGAAACGAAATTTCACTTCTCGCGTTGAAAACTATTTCACGAGTGAGCTGCGCTCACTCGTGAAATAGTTTTCAACACTCGAAGAGAAATTTCGTATGTCCGCGCGGCCATATAATATCCTTTATTTAACAAGGGATGTACGGGTACATGGAAAAAAGAGGAGTTGTCCGCCTTCTTTTTCTAACTAGAAAAAAGTGAAAAAATTATTTGCTCCAATCCCGGTGGGCAGAGGGATCGGGGTGGAGAAGGTCTGCAGAAAGTTGACATTGCAAACGAGCGAGGATGAATTCCACTTTTTAAAATAATGTGTCAATACGAAAGCTATGATTAGGTCTTGTCTAGTAATCTATTCAGGTCCAGTCAATTCACTTTTTCGCGCAGCAAGGGCTTGAAAAATCTTCGACGGCTATAACTTCGGGGGTGGGAGGGTACGTCCTAGTAACAGTCTAATGGGAATGTGCCGCTGGGTGGAGTCGCATTTTCACGACTGGATTGACCATAATGGGTTACATTTTCAACATAGTTACTATTCTGGCAAATAGTCATTTAAAAAGAGAAACCGTTCTACACTCAGTTTAACAAATGTTTCATTTCGTTTTAAGATGAAGTAGTTAAAAGACTTTATAAGGTAGATGAATAAATAGAATATGACTAAGATGGGATCGCAAAAATTATATTCGCCCAAAAGTGACTAAGATGGGGTCCATAACTGGCCACAGAATAGACTAAAATGTCTAAAATGGGGTAGGGGTCCTGAAATGCCAGCAGAACATACTCAGCAAAAGGTGAGGGGTAAGAAAGACTCTTTGGCTTAACCCGATTAGAAACAGGATTACATTTTTATTCCAAACTTTCCACTGCTTGACTAAAATTAACATTTAACATTTGCAAACGATCCCATCACAGCTTAATGCTGTTTCTTAAGTTATAAGAGGTTTGTGATTTTGCAATATATGCAGTCATACAGGGTGGTGAATCATTGTAGTACATTTTATAAATTAGCTTCAGAATGGAGTTCTTATAATAGGTTCTTAGAGTGTCCCATTTGGCCCTGGTGTATTCTTTATTGTTTATTTACACACGACCCCACAAGCTGCAAGCTTAATTACTTATCGTGTTGAAATAAAGGTTACTTACTTACTTACATTAGTTTGCTCGTCTGATATTAATAATAATGGTTACTGGCACGAGAATATCATCTCTTGCTACTAGCTCATTCCTTCCAAATCGTAGAGTCCCATTATTAGTTCCAGTTAGCCTTCAAGACATCAATTTGATCACGCGTTAAGATAAAGAGGATATTTGAGATGGCTGGCGGATCAGTTCAATCGGATCAGGAAATACGTGTATTGTTATAATCTTGTTTCTATGAAAGTAGAACTCTTCTTCCGTGATATTGCATTAATGGATTTTAGAACAATACGAATTCGACCCAAAAATGTAAAGCAAATGCATGGGTTGACCATGCAATGACACAAAGCAAAAAGAATGGCAAACTGATTAAATATTGTGAAACCAAAACTGCAATTTGGAATTGAGCTCGGAAAATAGAGAAGAAGAAACTGAAGGGCAATAAAAGGTAGCCAGCACAATGCAAAGGCCAAAGCGATCACTACAGACATCTTCAGCAGCATTTTAGTCCTTTTCTTGCGTCGTTGATTAGCAAGGGAGGAAAGAAATGGCTGCATTTTGTCGTCTTTTAGTCTCAGCAAGGTTATAGTTTGTAGTATACACACTGTTACTAGAGGCACAATGAGTACAACAAACAGTAACGCAGTGTAGTATCGGGTGTGTGTCGACTCGTGATTGAAGGCTGGCTCCCAGTTTGTGATACAGAGAGTTTCGCCATTGATTGCGTCCAATCGGAAAGTGTAGAAATATGGAGAATGAATTGCCATTGCTACAATCCAAGTGTAAAGGATGAGAAGCCGTCGCTTTTTGACAGTGATTTGAATATATTTTGCTGGAAATACAACTGCAATCAGCCTGTCAGCAGCAACTAAAATCAAGGACAGTGTAGAGACCGCAATGGTAGCGTCAGCAGTGAAGGCACAGATCTTACAGAGGACATGTCCAATCCGTCCATGGACAAGAAAAGCTGTGGAGCCTTTGACTTGATCCAGAATCTCTCGAGGAAAGTGGACTATGGAGAACAAAACATCTGACGCGGCTATGTTGGCTATCAAAAGGTTCATTGTCATTTTCGATTTTAAAGAAGCGAAGATAAGCAAGGAATTCCCCACGAGTGAAGCAATCAAAAGAAGGCTGTATATAGTCGCAAAACATATCATGTTAGCCATCCTATCAATCGGCAGCAAACAGGTCCCATTTTGGACACTGAGGCTATATTCGTCAGGTATTAGAGGATTTGTTGAGCTGTTGTTGGCGAACATCACGGTATTCGAAAACGGCAGAATTCGAAGCGAAATTACAAGGTGGACTTGCCAATGAACCTTAAAAAGGATGTTGTTTATCTCTCCTTTCATTTGTAGTATGACAGAACTGTCTGATTCTTAGTCGGGCAGGGATTGCGAAAAAGTGCCGCACTTAATTTAATTATAAAAGAATGACAGCAGCACGAGATAAATACAGGAAACATCGCTTTACACTCTTGATTTTCATAGGAATATTGTGTTTCCGGCCCATGCTGAATATTCTTATTTCTCTGCCGATTTTAGGCTAAAGATATTCTTGTGAATATTCTTAGATTAATTAAAGAAAGACAAAGTGGATTATGCCGACACAATGTCAGATGATCTGTCCTATCATGACTTTGATGATCGATGTTGAAGTAATTTTGGAGCCGGCCTGCAGGAAATAAAGCCTGACATGGCAAACATACAACACGTCTTGCAGAAATATTATTAGCATCGAACATACGGCTAGTGCTGAGTTTGTTGTTTTTGGCTAGTTTTGCCGTTTAGGAAAAGAGCGAATTTTATGCGATTTAATTAAAAACATATAATTATATTGCATTTACAAATTTTCAAAACACAAAATATTATTTTGATCAAATTCTCAGCCTCGGGTTTATTTAAGATATTCTTAAAATTTCGCAAATTTCAGCTAGACATTGTTATAAAATGTATTCTAATAAAGAAAATAAGAGTACATGGAATATAGTAGAGTATCCAGGTATGTTTCTCAAGTACTGAGAAGTTGTGTAATATGCATTGCAGCCACTCCTCTCTTAGAATTTGTATTTGTTTCATTTTTGTACGCTAGCGCTATTTCAATTAGTGTCCGTGTGGTACGCTAAACGTCATTAGTCAAGCAGTAGCTGTCGGAAAAAAAAAACAATTTTTCTTCAAAAAAATAAAACAAATACGGCGTTTGTCGTTTTTTGATGTTTGAACCCTATGAAGATGAAGATAAATACTTTTAATTTAATAGGTCTTTCAATGATTAACTTTGCGTATTTGCATAACAATAGGGAGCTTAAGCAAACCACGACGACGACGGCAACGAGAACGTCACCAAACAAAAGGCTTAATGAGCAAAACGATAGCTGAGCACGTGCGTTATAAATCTTTTTATTATATGGCTGCGTCTCACAAAGACTGGGAACTACCGAATTCACGAATATGATTGGCTGAAATCGATATTGACCGCGGTCTAGATTTTCCCAT